TATTAGAATCAGAGATAACATCTTAAATCATGTTATTTATAAATATTGGACTCAGTCTTAATCTGAAATCCTTAGAAACTTTATGAAATAGGGGAAAGAGCACAGAGCTTCACCTTGGCAATCAGAGCTGTGTGATATTAGAACAGCTTCTGTAAGCTTCAAGTTCTTTGATTAAATACAATACCTCTTGYATGGCACTCTATAAAGGTCATGTCCSCTGCCATTTCATTGGTGTCCTGTTTGATACTAATGATAGTTCAGAGAGCAACAGTTAGAGCATACTAGAATCTTAGATATAAGAAGATAGGAGAATTTTTAAAAATCCTTAATCTTCATATTTATTTTCATGGTTTGGTTCTGTTAATCTAGGCTATTTGGTTAATTGTAATATACTAGACCAGTGTTTATTTTTCCTTCCCATATTAAAAAAGAATGTCTTGGGGGGTGTAGATAGAGAAATTTTATACAAAATCATTATTCCAGTAGTATGAACTGATAAAGGTATTGGAAGAAGTTACCATATTGTTTTCCAAAATGTTCCAGTACTTTACATTCTTAACAAAATGTTTGAGGTTTTCATTTCTTTTCTTTTTCTTTTTCTTTTTTTTTTTTTTTATCTGAAGTTAAACTTAGGACCTTGCGCATGCTAGGCAAGTGCTCTACTACTGAGCCTTCAGCTCTTGAGGTTCCCAGTTCTTTACATCCTTGCCAACATTTGATATTGTCTTTTTCATTATGACCATCTAATATGTGAGACAGTGGTTTTAATTTGCTTTTTCCTAATGATATTGAGACTGTAATATGTTGTAATAAACAGGGTTGATTGATAGAGGATTTGATGGTCCTTTGTGATGGAGTAAAAGGAAACAGAAAATAAGCATGTAAGTACTTATTCAAACCATTGTGGTTTTGACTCTTGGACATTCTTTGGATTTTTGGTGTCTGAGTCAGATGGCTTTTTAGTTATCTGATAAATGTATATTAATACATATGCATTTRTGAAGTTGAGGGGAGTCTTGTGATGACAAGTTATGCTGAATTCTGTGAAGCATACTCTAAGATTCTAGAAGAGAGGCATTCTCAAAATAATTAATAAATGGGAATAGGTAAACTAAATTGGCAGAATACAAACCAGGGTATGATATTAAAAACAGAAATCTGAGGTTTGAGACTGGTGGTATAGCTCAGTTGGTAGAGTGCTTGCCTTGCATGAACAAAGTCCTGGTTCAATCCCCAATCCACATACACACCAAAAGAAAGAGAGAGAGAGAGAGAGAGAGAG